AATTTGTTTGGATATAAAATTCTCAACTGGAAATCATTTTACTTCAGAATTTGGAGGGGATTGCTCCTGTGTCCTCTAGCTTCCCACATTCTTTAAATCAGTCCAAATCATAATCTTTTGTAACACATTTTTTATTTCTAGAAATATGTAAGTTTGGCCAATTGTCCCTACTTTTCTGAAATTTCACAATATTCCAGTATGGACCTATTCCATTCTCTGGTGTGGATCCTGAATGAACCTTTCAGTCTCAAGTCTGTGTCCTTGTGCTCCTGGAAATGTGCTACAATTGCCTCAGCCTTCAGCTAAAGGGGGGAAGAGTACTTGCTAAGAGGAAGGGATCTGGAGTCTAATTACTTGTTAAACTGACTTTAAACCAATTCTCTCGATTTTAGTTCCATATTTATCACCACTTCCATAAAAGCCAACTACCGCTTAAACCTAACCTGTTGGGGGTCATGAGCTTCATGTTTGTGCTTTGATTTCCCCTTTATAGCTTACCATTCAGCGATCTTTCTGACTGATTGGTTGATTGATTGATTTGGCTTTTTGAGAGAGGGTCTTGCTACACTGTGTAGTTCAGGCTGGTCTTGAGCTCACTGTGTAGCCCAGGCTGGCCTCGAACTTGTGATGATCTTCTTGTCTCAGCCTCTGAAGTGCTTGGATTACAGTCCTGTGACACCACACCCACCAGGATTCAGCTATTTTATACATGCAAAGTCAAGTATATTAATATTCATCCATCTATGTACTTCATAGCTTTGAAAATATTGTGTGATGATTACCAGATTAACTTAATTGAAGTTCACCATAAAAAGAAACTGGGGAATGAGTAGGCCTCTGCAAAATCAGCAGAAAAACAAATCCTCATAAAGCAAGAGGTTGCAGTTCTATGGCTGTTATGGACCATGCCAGAGAATCTCAAGCCAAACATGTCATCAAAGAATATCTCAAATACAGAAAATGAACAATAAAAACCAAGCCCTCAAAAAGCTGCGTGCATGTGTCTGCGTGTATATGTGTGGTTGCTGATGTCTTCTTTCCCATTCATTTTGTTTTTGTGGTTTATGCATTTTTAAAGATTCCTTTACCATTATTTTAGTGTGGTTTTGGAAGAGAGCCTTCAATCTGCCATATTTATCTGCAATTCTTAAGCTACTGGGTATTTTTTCTGATTTCCATATCACTTTATTCTATTTCTGTAAAATATAGCATACATGCAGGGAAATATACAAAACATATTTTTACAGTTTAATGAATAATGATGAACCAAGCCCTGGCAAAACCACTGCCCAGATCCGGAAACACAACACTGCCATTTCCCAGCAGCCCAATCGCATGTGTCACTCCTCCCTATCACAACCCTATCCCTCCTCCCAGGGGTACTGTTCAGCTTTCTCATCACTGGGACAAAACACTTGACGGCCACAACTTAACAGAGGAGAGGTTTATTTAGTTCACAGCTTCAGAGCTTTCAGTCCTTGGTCAACTGGCTCCAGGGCAGGAACATCATAGTAGGAGAGTACAGCAGAGCAAAGCTGCTCACTTCATGGTGGCCAGAAAGCAGAGCACAGGGAAAGATCATCAGAGGCACAGGGGTCAGGGACCAGACATAGTCCAAGGTCACAGCCCCATGACCCACCCAGACACACCCAGAAGTGTGGTTTACTAATCCCCTGGCAGATCTCAAGTCAATCAAGCTGACAATCAAGATTAAGTGTCACACCAGTGGATGCCGCTACCCTTTGCTAAAACCATGTCTTGACTTGTCTGTCATATACTTGCATATGTGTACCTTAAAAGTGGTTTAATTTTGTCTCTTTTTAGCTTAAATGAATGAAATCCTATCAAACATATTCCTTTGTTTTCTTTCATCTCACCTTATGTTCATCAGACTTGTGTCTGAGTTATTGGGGTTTTTTTAGTATCTCTATCCTTTAAAGAAAAATATTTTATGACATTAATAACAAAAATGAGAGGCACTGGGGTGGTATGGAGGTGGCATGCAAAAAAAGAGAAGTTAAATAAATTTGCTCAAAGTTTAAGAGAGAAAATCCTCAAATTCAAAAATATTTCTCTCTTAAGTGTGAAACATAATCACAGTTTTCAAAACAAGAGAAAAGCATCCCCAAAATGGCTTTCTAAGGCTGTCTGGCTGATCTTCCCACCCAGAGTAGGTCTAAATGCCCATTTTCAGGCTAGGGGCAATGGCATATCCTTGTAATCCCAGCTATTTGGGAGGATAGAAAGTTCAAGGGCATCAGAGGCAACTTACTGAGTCCCTTTCTCAAAGTAAAATAAAAAGGGCTGGAAGTCATCAGCTGAGGGAGCCTTGGTGGCTTTACTTCCTTCCCATTAACAAAAGTGCCTGGGGACCTGCAGTGGCTTCTGCTCAGGAGCCCAGGTTCCCTCTGTGGGGAAATTCCAAGGCTGAGATGCACGAATCTTAATCCTGGGCTCTTCAGTGACCCACATGGGCCTGAATGAGCAGCTTTTCTTACTTTGTTACTTCACTGTTCCTGTTTGCTAAGTAAGTACTTGATGTCAGTCCCAGCCGACCATGCCCACAAAAGAGTGACTGTGGTCTGGGGGAAGGAAGTAGCTCTGCCTGTGTACAGTGGTGTTCTCTTACCACTGGGCAGACTGTGTTTTCTGATCGCCCACCCTTTGATTTGCCGTTAGATAACCCAGAAGCTCAGGCCTGCCTTTCCAGGGCATCGGCCCTCACTAGTCCATGGCCAGGCTTGGCAGCACAGGCTAGAATGGCAAGGAAGGCTTCTTAGCTGTTTGTTCTTTAAGCAGGGCCTATCACTGAGGGGGGATGACTAAGCTCCCTTTTGTCAGGAAGAATCCAAGATTTTTAAATGAAGAAGCTAAAGAAAAAAGAATCTACTGGGAAGGCCTATTGTTGGATCTTACAGAAGAAATCTCTTTCGTCAGAGAAGAGGCCTTAGGAATGTCCTTGGAGAAAAAGGGGAAGTCTTACTTTTGTCTTAATTTTGAAAGAATGCTAACCCAGGATTTTGGAAGACAGGGAACAGAATCCAGGGAACAGAATCCAGACAAGGAAAAAGAAATATCCAAGGATGGCTGGAAGTGTAATTAACTTGGTGGAGCTTGGCAGAGTTGCAGGATGATCATTATTATCATTGTTACTATTTACATTTCCTGTCAATTTTGTCCTTTTATTTTTTGGTTATTTCGTTTTTATCTTTTACCTTTTTGGTCAATATTTTTCATTATATTTTACTTTTGCAGTGCTAGGGATATTAGGCAAGCACTCTACCACTGAGTCACACCCCCAGCCCAGTATTTAATATTCTGCCAAGTACATTCCATTGTTCATGATCTATACCTATGTGCCTCCAAATGAAGAAGCCAGGCCACGTTTTCTTCATATTCCAGTAAGGAAAACTGAGAGACAGAATAAGTGGAAGACATCTCAGCACAGGACTGCCACATCCTTCACTGGAGGAAACAGAAAAGTTACACTTTGGAGTCCTCACATCCCCAGTCAATACAGACTCTAGCTCTTTCCCATGAGCAAGGAACCCATCTACCTCTCCCCTACCTTGGTCAAAATTAGCCACACAAGTACTGCGTGATTCTACTTATTCGAGATGCCTACAATAGTCAAATTCAGAGACAGAAAGTAGAATAGTGGTTGTGAGGGATCAAAGGGAGGGGGAAATGGGGAATCATTCCCTAATAGGAACAGAGAGTTATTTTACAAGATGAAAAATAGTTCTGAGGATGGATGGTGGTGATGGTTGTACACAATGTGAGTGTGCTCAGTGCCACTTAACCGTACAATTCACTATGGGTAAAACAGCAAGTGTCATATTGTATATGTTTAATAGCACAATAAAAGTGGCCTCTGCCCTAAAATAGAGAAAGAGTTATGTAAGTAGGGTGCATCTGTGAGATTCCTCTTAAGGACAAGGACCATTTCTTCAGGCAAATTGTAATCAGCCCCTTTAGAAACATCAGATACAGATCAGATTAAAAGGGGAATCGATGGCAGGGCTGACCTACTGCATGAAAACTGATAACTAAAGTTATTTCAGATCTGAGGCACTTCCTGGCCCTTCATTCTGCTGGCTTGTGCCTACTGAACACCCGCTGATGAGCAACTGCTTTGTTGTTACTGCTTTTCTGGAACTAACTCCTTGATATTCACTTCAATTTAAATTTGTCTGTCACCACTTCCATTCTAGGAGAACACAGTCCTAGTTTACACAACACAAAGGCATCTGTGGGATCTATCGATCTTCCCTATGTGTACACCAGTCCTACACGTAAGATGGAACTGCAATGAGAATGGAGAGAAACACTGTGCAAACCTCCTCTGAATCTGGTGTCCTGTCTTTCTCAAGTCACTTGAACTTGGACCATCTCATCCAATTGCTCTCTTTTGTTTTATTTTTACATTTTCTTTTTCTAAAATCAAAGTTCTCAAGTCAGGTGTAACTTTAATTACAAATTGAGCTGTGGTTGACAGAGACCAAAACAGCAGGAACTTACACAGACAGGATAGTCATTTATCTGCTGTCTTGTGGGAAAGCCACCAGTCATCAGTGGCCAGGCAGCTTCTGTACATGGCTCCACCATCCCTAGGCTGCCGCTTTATTCTGCATGCTCCAATGTGCCCCATCGCCATGACTGCATTTGTGCTAACAGAAAGAAGAAAGGGATCCGGGAAGGCACACCGTTCCTTTGGAGGGCACACATCACTTCCACTGAGGTGCCATGGGCTAGAGTTGGGGCATGCACATCCTTACTCAGCCACAAGCTGCAGTGATTTGTTCCAAGCAACTGTGTACTCTGTTGAAACTTCTGTTACTGTGAAATATTCAGAGACCAGATTCTGCCACAAGCAGGGTATGCACGCTCTGTTGTATGATGAACACACTCACTGTGACATGTGTACCACAATGGGGTCCATTGTGATGTGACTCTATAGAGTTATATGCCTGATGCTGTCCTAAGATTAGCTGGCCATACAACTATCAGCAATGAGAGATCAAGCTCCCATCTTCTCCTGTAGGCCAAAGCACCAAGAACACCAGGGCTTATCATCTACCCAGGTCAGCTGTCTGTAAGTCATCCCGGGGTTCCTGCACCACTGCTGCATCTCAGTCTCTCTGTGGCAGGCTATATCCCTGAGGCAGCACAGGTTCAAGACATACATGGCAGGTAACAAGCTTCTGAAATGGGCCTCTGTTCAGGAATTGGCTCCCTCTCCTACTTTTAGAAAAATGGATTCCAGAGGGTTCACGGGCCTATGTATTTGGGATAGAAGAAGACAAGCTTAATGTGTGTCCCAGAGTGGCCTGGTGTCATTTCTACTTTTCTGTAGCAGTCTCATCATGATGGAGGTCAAGACAAGGTATAAATCTCCCTTCTTCATCAATACAAAGCCATTTCCACAAGGCTGGCTCTCTGCCTGGCTTCACGACTCATTCTATGACAAGTGCTTATTCTCTGGCTGGGACATGCTCAGCCTCCTGGCCAGATCCCTTAGCCTGGCTACTGAAATGGATGTGATAAGGACAGAGTCTTTTATGCAGAGTTGCTCCTGAAAAGGGAAAGACTATTTTTGGTTCTGCTACTCCGAACCTATGTAAATGTCTTATGAGGGATGAATGCAGCTTGAGGTCTATAAAAATGGCTCTTCCACCAGACATCCATACATGCCATTCTAAACTCCACTTTCTAGCTACCATGGGTCAGCCAGAAGTGCATACAAAGAACACTGATCGTGGTAAAAGTAGCTTCAATTTTATTTAGATCTGAGAAAAATCTAACTTAGCCTCCATTTCTTCCCTCTGTAAAGTCAGAAAATTAGTTTTCTTCTAGCTCCCGTGATACATAGCCTTGATTCTACTACAACTGAGTTTGGTTGTGCCCAGAACCCCACACCATTTGTAGAGTATACTGTGAACAAAGTACAAGAGAGTTCAACAGAACTAATGAAGTCTGTGACTGTTCCTCACACTTCTCCATAATTGTCAAAAACAGACTAACAGTAAATCCAACCAGAACAATCAACCAACACCAAAAAAAGCATGCATGACACTAAGATGCAGGCTGCCTCAGGATGTTGGTACCTGCCCATAGGTAACATTTACCACTGAGTTTTACATCTCAACTTCCCTAAAAGTCTTACCTAAGAGCTTTGAACACTGAGCAGCACTCTTCAAATAGGTAATAAGAGATTGCTCTTAGATCAAGAAAATAAAAGAGGTGAGATAGTTCTCCATTTCTACTTCCCAAAGAAGGTGCCCAGTTTTAACTCAGGAAGCCAGTCTGGTTCTTTAGCTCTGCCTCCTATACAAATTCCTGACCCTCTCTCTGACTGAGTTGACGTTCCATTTATCTCAGGCTCTAATTCCCAGCTCCACTCCCAGCCCTGCTTTGTGATCTGCCCAGCCTGGAGCCCACAGGTACCCATGGAAAGTTGGTTCTCCTTATCTTAGGCTGGCTTTCTTAAATCCAGGTCCTTCTTCCTGCCCTTAGCTGAAAAAACTCTCTTTCTCTGCATTTCAGGCCACTGTCTCTTACTCAAGGACAGTCCTTACCTAAGAAACTCCCTAGATTGGCAGAATATAAATAGGAAAAGTAAGATACTGTTTGTATTAGTCTGCTTTCCATCACTATCACAAATATCTGAGATAACCAAATTATAAGGTGAAAAGGGTTATTTTGACTCATAGTATTGGAGGTTCCAGTCCATGACTGCTTAACCCCATTGCTTTGAGACTATGGTGAGGCAGCACATCAGGGTGGAGACACACAGTGGAACAAAACCACTCACTTTATGAGCCAGGAAGCCAAAAGAAAACAAAAATTGGGGCAGGATCCCACTCTCCCCTTCAAGGATACACTCCCAGCAACCTAAAGACCTCCCACTAGGCCCCACCTCTTAGAGGTTCCACCACCTTCCAATAACACCACCTTTGGGACCAAACTTTTAATAAATGGGCCTTTGAGAGACACTTAAGGTCCAAATGATAGCACTGTCAAAAATCTGAAAAGGCAGTAGCCTGCTCTCTGCTACTATGAGAATTTCCATAGACAGTATTTTCCTAGGGGCTCTAGCTTTCCCACATGCTATCAATAGTAATGAGTCTTCCGATCAACATATTAAATGAGTGTGGGCCCTTTTTCACATTAAGTCCAGGAGAAGGGACCATGACATTTCCCATGATATTTTGCCAGGCTTCTCTTTCTTTTGGCTTTGAGCCTAGAATGGATGCATTCTCAGCTTGATTCTTCACACTGGCCTGAGCATGAGTCTAAACATGTGCGTGTATCTGCACATTTCCACAGAGTCAAAAGAACAAAGCATAAAATCTCATGATGGGTCAAAGTTGTCCTTTCTTCCTCAGTTCCAAGCGTCCGAATGGCCCTTGTGAGTTCTCAGATCAAGTAAACGCGTCAGTTTTCTAGTTAATTCTCTATTAGCCCCAAATGTCATCTTGTGAAGTTTCTTTTGCTGCTCAAGTGACCATCAAGACTACATTTTCCAAGACAGAAGATATCACTCCTCAAATCTGCACAGATGACCCTAGGAAAAATCAATTCTATATAAAACCTCCACTAGAAAGATTGAAAAACAAGTTTTAGGGGTCGATCCCGACAAAAGCAATGTGTCCTGTGGATATCTGCCAGCCTGCTTTAAGCCTTGCCCAGGGCTAAGGAAGCATGAGCTCCAGGGCATACTCTGCAGACCCCAGGGAGAAGGGCCTTAGTTGCTCACTCCTGTAGTCTCAGACAACAGAACATCTTTCCTCCTTCCTAACCCCTTCTCTTTATCATATCCAGACCCGGCATGAGTGCAAAATGCTCTCTACACTGGAAAGAACAAGGGTTTGTGTTATTTGAAGCACAAAGAACTTGCTCAAATCATTTCCTCCAATTCCTAGCTGTGTGATTCTAGCTAGGTTACCCTGCCTCTGAATCTACTTCCTTGCTTACTAATTAGAGCTGAAGACAGGTCTCTTGCAGAGTTGCTATAAGGATTAAAGATCAAAAACTCAAGTTCCTGGCATATAATAGATACTGTAGAATTCAGGTAGTTATCATTAGTATGACTGAAGGTACTGGCAGCTAATGGGAAGATGTAACACAGAAGCCCTAGATTATGAAGCATTCCCCAAAATCATGCAATCTTTGAGCTACAGTAGCACATTCAGACGCCTCCTTGCCCATAAGTGGGATCAATATTTCCATGGCAGGTCTTCTCAATGCAATATTTTAATGTTTAAAGGCAACATTTCCAAGAACTGTCAGGCAGGAGGAAGTTCAATTCATAAGGGAAGCATCAGAGATTTCTGCAGTTGCATGCATGATTGGTTTGCTACAGAATGATGTATTTAGGGTTTTCTCCACCTCTATCTCTAAAGTCCCTCCAGAGATTTCTTTATTACTTTATAATGCTAATTATTTCAAAATTTTTAAAAACTTGACATGTCTTTTACAGACATGTTTTACAGACATGTCACTGTATGTTTTGCAGACATGTTTTACAGACAAGTCGCTGTATGTGAATGTACAAATAATAAAAAGGGGTCTTAGAAGTTGCATAAATATATTCCCATTCCTAGTGTCCTCCTAACTATGACCAGAGGTACCCATGGCATATTGCTTTCCAGTGGGACTCTGCACCTCTAGTGGTGGTAATCTCAGGATTAGGAATCAGGAACATGGAAACCCAAGTTCTAAGAAGTGAATTTTTCAGCATGATTCACCAGCTTCCTATTTAATTACCAAAGGAGTAAATAAAGTGCCCCCAAGGCCTTGAGATACTAGAAAGAGGTCTCCTTTCTCTCTGCGATGCACATTTTTTTCTCTTTCCAAACTGGGCATAATATTTTCAATCATTTCTTTTTACATTTTATAATCCTAGGACACACACTTCCTCTCCATTGTTCTCTTTCTCTTCTCTACCTCACTGGATCTTTTCCCATGGTCTCACCTTTCTTCCTTCTCTACTGGTAACTAAACTGATGGGAACTAACACTTGTCATAAAGAGGCAACAGGTCCCTAGAAAGTATTTAATAACAGAGCATTTCAGTGATGCCCTGATATCCATAAAGCCAAGTCTGTTTTGCCCATGTTTGGCATTTCACTCCCCAAAGCTGCCTACGGAAGTTGTCAATAATTTTCCCAGTGCATTAACGTCACACAGAAACAGCTGTCTGGAAGACAGCCTGGCCAGACGGACAGAGCAGAATTTATTTCCACCTTCAACCAACGCGCCGCGCTGTTTCTTTCTTTTCTCTCTGGTCAGCCCTACTTCTTCAAATTTAATCTAAATTGCTCAATCCGTTTGAAGCTTCTGAAACAAAGCAAGCAGATCACCGCATTTTAGGGGTTGCCACCTTCTCCTGGTGATTTGTTTGCTGTAATTTTACTAGAAGCTATCCTCCTCCTTCAAGACCTAAATCTTACCTATCTGGAGATGAGGGACAGAGCGAGGACAGATACGTGACTCGCACTGAAATTAACGGCCTTTGATAACAGCAGGGTGTGTCTGTCCCCACTTCCACAAGCCACATCTGGCTAGAAGCAGGCTCTCCTCCTTCCTTCCTCTTCTCACTCTCTCTCCCTCTGTCCTCAACTCACACTCAGCCCTGGCTGGGGTCACATTCACCCTGAGACATTTACCTTGAATGACTCAGGCCTGAAGAATCAAAGTCACATGATTATAAAACCCCTTCTTCAAAACAAGAGAAGAGATAGTACCAAGGCCTGCGGGAGTTTGGACTTACATGTTCTCCCCACCGAAGAGGTTAACAAAATAAAGAATTGAGAGTAAAAAGCAATCTTTTTAAGTCTAATAGGAAAACTGATAATTAAAGGTTATCAATGATCAGAAATACAGAAAATCTTCCCAGAGTGCTCTGCTTTTTTCTACATTCTGCCCTTCCCTTAGGCCAATGTATGGCCCCTCAGCTGCCTTTCCCAGAGACCTCAGGCCTGGGCTGACCCCTCCTCTAGCTTCCCACAGCACAGCACCCAGTTTCCCACCTCTGGCCCTGGAGGAGACAACTGTGTACCGCCAGTCATCTTTTTATATCCAAGCATCCCAACTCCCCAACCAAAATATATTTGCATGTCCCTTTCAACACACTGTTTGCTATTCAATAAATATTTATTTGATTAATGATGAGAGTACAATGATAATTCTGATTCTCGAGCTATTGACAGCCAAGTTCAAGTATCTCTTCCTAAGTAAACCCTTTCCTGACTACAGGTGCAGAATTTTGGAACAAGAAAGGCCCAGAGATTCTCTCAACTGCAATTACATGGTTCCCTAATTGATTCTTGTCTCTCCAATTTGATCAAAAGCCACAATCATGCCCTGGCCTTTCTTTACATGGTTCCATCTATCCAAACACACCCCCGCCACCTAGCACTGTGACAGAGTGGAGTGGCTACGATAAGAACCTCTCTTTATTTTCCCACCACCCTTGGTGTTGAATTAGTAGGCACTCAATAATAAAAATAACAATACTTTTCCATTTGAATAATGCTATACAATTTTTCAAAGAGCTTTTAAAAACATTATCTCTAATGAGATAATGTTCCACACAAAAAGCCTGTAGTTAAGTAGGTGTAATTAGCTCTAAGTAACAGATAGAAACTGAGGCCCAGGAAGGTTAAATGACTTGCCCAAGGGCAGAGAGCCAGGCTGGCATTTCTGGTCTCACATCAGCACTTTCTTCTGCACTGTGGGGCCTCTCCAGACTCTTCAAAGCATCATTAGCATGAACTATTAGGCAAATTGAGACATGAAAGAGAAATGCCAGTAAAATCTACACTTTCCACCAAATCACATGCTTAGAAATTCTTGACATTAACAGTCACTGAGATCAAGCTGGTGTTGTCCTCAGAAGCTTGTGAACTTTGTAGGGTAGTAGGCACAATGTCTTTTCTGAGTGTCCCTTGCCCAGTGCCTAGAACACGGCAGGCACTTAATAAAGCGTAGCTGAATGACCAAATGATGAGAACAATGAATGAACAAGCAACACAGGAATGTCCCTATGATAAGAGATGTGTTGCAGCTATAAACATTACCAAGAGTGGATTTCAAATCCAAAGGAATCGGATTTAAGAAAAGCTGATCTCCATTTATACCATTACAAATGTTTGAGATAAAACTGCTCTACTACAAGCAAAGACACATGGAATAAACAAAGAGTTTTATTATTTAGCTCCCAAAAGCCAAAATCAAGAATCTTACATTGTAAAAAAAAAAGAAAAAGAATAAACATTATTTAAGCAGAAAACTCTCCTGCTTCCAAAAGGGTAAAATAAGCATATAACAAAAGTTTTAAAATTATAATTATTACAAAAACAAACAAGCTTGACTAGAAATGGCTGGGCATAGGGAACAACAAGTTTGGCAGCCCAGAATTTAAAGTCTTCCCGACAGGTAGAGGTGACAGAAGATGGCACTCAGAGGCACAGCATCTCCCCAGCAAGTGAAACAACCCCTTCTCAAGGCTTGAGCTTCTCTGTAAAGGAATGGAGTTTCCTCTTCACCCTCTCTCCAGTGCAGTGCTGCCTTCCTGCCTGCTCCCAGCATCGCACAGAGTGGGACATCTGCTCAGTTTGCTCCTCCTAGGCTCTTCCCTTTGCTCCTAGCCCCCTCCCCTGCTCCCTGGTGATAGGTAGGACCTCCCTTCCAGCACTCATAATCTGTCCCCCACACAGACATAGCTCCTCGCTCTTCATCCTTGTTATTCAGCAAGTCTCAAGTCTTCTGAGCTAGGATCACTTCAGCACAGAAAAAAAAATCCCACGAGCAATCAATCCCCACACATTTCTTTTCAATCATAACCACAGAGCAACATCATCTTCACAAGACAGTCCTCACTCCACCTGCCATGCAATAAAGCGATTATTAGTTTGGGTTTGTTTGTTCAGTAGTGTAAGTAAAATATTAATTTAAAACAAACATAGTCACACCCAAAACATAAATATTTTAGAGGCCAGTTATTGAGTAAGTAGTTACTTTAATTAGATGCTGAGTATCTGTTTTCCCTGGACAGAGGATGCTCTTCCATGGCGGGCATGTGTGATAAGTAAGCCCTGCTATGTATTCTACTGAGTAGGTGCTCAATACACTTTTGTCGAATGAATAAATGCAGAATGAATAAATCTAAGAATATCTTAGATTGAACTTGTAAAACTTCCTGTTTCTAGATCAAAATCATTCCTCCTGCGGGGAACTGCACCTTCTCTTTCCTTACCCGGACCCCCTTCACTCCTGCCGTCACTCCTGTCACTTTCTCCACATCATTCAAGGCCTTCCTCTTGCCAGGAAAACATTTTCTACTGCATCAACTCACACTGCCTTCCTGCCCTTCGAAACATGACACTCAAGAGTCCTACAGATGAGTCCTTAATGTTCCATTATGTCATCATTCTGCTTTCTCTATGCCCACCCAGGGGGGATGGCTCCCCTCCCATGCTCCCTTGTGCTCACCACAGCAATAGGGCGGCACTCTGCTCACCTTTGGAGGCACCAGTCTACTAGGGTACCATGGGTATTTTTTTCAAATATTGCTAATAACCAGTGGTCATAAATGTAAAGTCAAAGGTCTTTAGGCAACTTTAAACTGTATTTTAAAAAAAGGAAACTAAAGATACAATATATAGCATATAAACAGGAATTGGGATAGGATGGGGAAATGAAAGCGAAGTCAAAAGGAAGGCAGCGTTGGGCTGGGGGAGGCAGAGCACAGCCCTATAAAACCTGACAAGACACCACAGCCCGGTGAAATCCAGGGAAGCCCACATTAATGGCCTTTTCAGCAAAGTCCTTTAAATATAAAATTTGAGAGGGCATGAGGAGGGGAGGAGTGCCAATATTCTTTTTCTTGATTTGCCCTCTTTTTGGCTGCTTCATGAAAATAATTTTTGTGCATTGAATCTGTCCTCTTTTCTTCACTTTTGGAGTGTGACTTTGACGCTGTCAATGGCTTGTTTTCTGTTCTGTGCACAGATAGAATTCATACAGCCTCAGGAAAGACTTTAGAGGTCATCTTGCCACCCCCAAATTATAGACAGAAAACTGGGGCCCAGCCAGCAGAAGCCATTTGCCAAGCCATAGGAGTGAGTCCTAGAGTGTGGGCTCTGGGTCCTGCTCTCCAGGTGTGGTTACAGCCTCTCACTACCTGGAAAAGTTGCCCCTCTTCTAGTCTGCTTGCTTCTCTGCCAAAGCCGCTAGTACCACCTTCTAATGCACCCAGTTGTGGGGAGATTAAACAGGTGACATGTAAGCATGTTAAACATGTAAGGCACAGAGCTGCAGCATCAGCAGCACCCACAGATGCTGGGCATTCAGGTGGCTGAACCTGGACTAGACCAGGGATCTCCAAATTCAGTGCTGCCTTCCCTATGCCTGAGTCTTCAGTGAAGCCAGCAGCACTCTCCACATGAAAGACAGACAGGAAGGAGCAATGGCTCCCAACATCACCCCTGAGCCTGTCCCTGCCACTCTGCTGTGGGCCAGGACATTATAGCTCACATGAGGCTGACTACTGCTTGGCCAAGACAAAGGAATGAGGAAATGCAGGCTGCTTGGCCTTCCTTACGGAAAGATGAAGACCGAGTGCTTCCAGAAGACAGAAACCAAGACTGTCCAGATTGGACCCCACACTCCTTTTCTTCTTAAAGCCCAAGCTGCCCAGGCCAGGTTCCCTGAAAGACACCCCACTGAGAGGCTGGCCCTGTGCAACCTTGCAGCCCCTGTGGGTGGTCTGTATGGTCCTGTGGAGTGTACATCCCTTTTGGGATGGTCAGAAAGGTTTTCCGTGCGGATTGGAATGAAAAGCAGCAGCCAGGTAAGTGAGGACTTGGTTCCTAAGACCACAGTATATGGAAATACAGGAAAACCCGCTCCACAAGACCTAGCTGCATGTCCCTGATACCTTTTGACAAGTCCCTTAGACATGTTTCTGTGACTGTATTTCTCTTCCAGAAACAATAGCTCACACTTTCCAGGGTTTTCTTCTCTCAAGGAGATCTACCCAGGTTGCTGGCAACCACATAAATATACTCTTAGAATACTAAAGAAATGCAGCAACTCTCCCATTTCTCTGCTAACAAAAGCTCTCCTCCAAACACTTCCTGCTCCTTTGGAGGCTAACTGACCTGCCCTTACCACACTTGGAACAAAACCCAAACTCCTTATCATGGGCTTCGTGACTCCACCCTGCCCAGTCTCAACTCAGATCATGTCTTCCTCTCACCTCACTCAAGGTGCTCTAGGCACCCCAAGAGGCTTCTCACCCACAAGCCCTTGCCCTGCTGACCCTGTGTAGGCTGTAGGCTCTTCCCCAGCTCCTTGCTCACGATGACCTCCTTGCCACCACATCTCACTCAGACACCACCTCTAACTGCCTTGTCCTATAACTTCTCACCTCATTAGCCTCTTTTGTTTTCTTCTCTATAGTGCTTACAATGCTCTGAAGTTACCTGTTTGTCACTTTGCCTGGGTGTTCAAGGACTGCATTACAGAACATAAACCCACAAGGGCAGAGACCTGTGTGCCCTCGCTTCTGCACATTCTGTATTTCCACCACCTTGCTTGGGCACATTCAATCAGAAGTTACTGAACGAATGCATGTAAGGATATACTGACATCAAGTCCAATGGTCTATTTATCAGACAAAAAGCCATCAATGTGCAAAATATTAAAAAATTACCTAAACCTAACTCTCTCCTGGATTGTGAAAACTGAAATGAAAAGAAGCAAAGACACTTGCCCAAGGTCACTCAGCAAGTGATGAGCAGAGCAAGATCTGGGTTGAGGGTTCCTGGTCCTTCAGCTGGTGTTCTTCAGCCTTAAAACACCCGGCCAGAATCTCATGAACTGCTCTTCTTCACATATTCATTCAGTTATTCATTTAACACAGCTTTCTTGACGACGCCCTTCTCTAGGTTTCGGGAATTGTGCTGAGAATAGATACCACATCAAGAGTGGTCGGGAGTCCCTTGTCTGCAATCCTAAAGGAATCACCCCATGACCATGATTGGATCCTGTTGCTGGGAGCTCTCTGGCATCATTCTGCAAATTGTCCATCCTCCAAGACTATTTCCTGAGTGAACTGGACTTGTCTCTGTCCCGTGATACAGATTCTCCAAAGAATCAGTGGTCGAGAGGACCGGAGGGAGCAGACCACCTCAGAGGACGCGCAGCAAGCTGGCTGAGTCACTGATAGCGTCTTGCCCTGCTGGGACTGAACTTCCATGGAGAGAAAGCTCACTGAGACCTCTGCCGGGCCCGCTCTCACCACCCTGAGTGACTTCCCTGGATAGTCACAGTGTTTAAGGGACCAGAGGCAGAGGACCGGAGTGTGTTCTGGTGGCGCAGCAGAAGGCCTTCCTCTTCACACTCACTGAGTATCAGGAAGTGGCCATGCAGCCTAGAGAGACAACTTTCCTGTGCCCGGTTTGATGCTGTGTTTTCCTTTATTTGAGTGTGAGTCTGAGGCTAAAGTGCAGGGCTGCACAAGGGGGTAGGGGCGGTCCTGAACTTCTGGACCGAGCCAAACACGGGGCCCCCTCAAGGGGAAAGACTTCCTTGCCACACAGGTACTCTTCCTCCGGCCACTCTGCTCAAATGGAGTGTGGGGAGCCCACCTGTTGGGAGCTAACACAGAGTGGATGGGGGCCAGTCACTATCCCCAGTGAAGCATGGCTTTCTCTAGGAGGCCTCCCTGCGATGGCCCACTGGAGACGCAGCAGCCTCCTCTGAAGACCTTCAGCTGAGTGCTGAGGCAACTACTCAACAGCCATACTCTTAGTTAAACTGGACCCAGAGAGAAGGCAAGAGCATTGCGTGAGCTCTCCAGCCAGTGCAGCCTGATAAGGCTCCAGGCCTTCACACAGAGTCAGCATCGCATGGCCTGGCTCTCCTGGGCTCCAGCAGCCAGCCCAGCTCTCAGCAGCAAGCAGGTTACAGCCGCCCGGCACACCATCCATCTTGGAAAGGTCAGGCACTAAATTTGGAACTTAGCTTTTAGATCTTTTCATCTATAAGTTATCTTGAGGCTGAAGGAAAAGGTTCACAGAAACATGTGCCAGAACAACAGAATAAATATTTCCAGAGACAGAATATATCTGTCTAGTTTTAACAACAACAGCAATCCGAGTCATCACAATGAAGCCTGTATGTTTCTACAGCATCTGGTGCTTTTCAGAGCACTTCTGTACATCCTCTTATTTGATCTTGCCATGGCTCACTATTATCTTATTATTATTATCTTTATTTCACAGCTGAAGAACCTAAGGGCCAGTAAAGTGACAAGGCCACTAGTCAGCGACAGAAATGGAAGCAGAACGCAGGGCTATAATACTTGGCTCAGCGCTCCCTCTCTATCTCTCACATGCTCTGTCATTCAGGCCGCAACTCTGTAATGTCTCCACATCTCCAAATGGCCCCGGAGGAGAGGTCAGACACATCCTGGAAAGTCTAACTCCATAAAAGGGACATGGGATAGCCTTTTTTATACCAAAAAAGATATGGGGCTAGGTTCCTGGGGCTGGAGGTTGTTGTAGTCCCCCACATGTAGTGCCTCTGGCCCTGTCACCAGGCAAGTATTACCTGGCATCTCAAAAAGTCCCCAAGTTCACAAGCAATCCCAGGTAGCTCCCAAGAATGGTTTCCAATGACTCTGTCCAGAAGGAGGGTCATTCTGGTTTTTCAGATCTTGAGTCTCCCTCACCTCGACCAGAGATTCTCATCTCCTTGAGAGAATGCTGGGGCCCTGTGCAGCTGAGGATCTCAGCTCACTCTACTCGTTGGCCCCTGCAAAAACAGGGGCTCGACATCAAGTCCATCTCTCAGGTGGCAGTGGATGGCAGTGCCTCCTCTATGACCAGTGCCCATGTTCCCCAAGTGGACAAACAAAGGGCTCAGCGGAAGTGCCCCTAAGACACTCACATACATGCCTGGCTTGAGGACTTCTCCCCAGTCTAACTGCTGCTTTTCCTCTGGTGCTCCTTGATAAAGAGACAATCACATCCATGACATACACTCTGGTGAGGGTTCAGGGACTAGGGCAGCACACTGCAAGCACATGCCACCCCTCCTAGCCCTCAGTTAGGCTGGGCAGTGCAGCAGTGGCAAGCACAGACCTTGGAGCTGCTCACCTGGGCTGGTCTCCGGTTTGCCACCTCATAACTGTGTGACCTTTGGGCAAGTTAGTTCACTCCCCTGTGCCTCTGCACATCTTAAAAACAGGATGACTATGATAAATATGTACAATTATCATATGTCAATTTAAAGTGTAAATAAGTAAAGGGAATGATTATAATTATAATGGAGGTCTCAGGCAGTTGTTGAAAAGACTAAATGACTTAACACATGTCACGTACTTAGAACAGTGCCAGCAATGTAAGTGTTGACGTTACTGTTGCTGTTATTATTAGTCGGAAGGCACAAGTCCAACAATTTCAATTACAGGAGAACCAGTGAGAACGAAGGGAATGAAGGGGGGAAAAGGCTTCTGAGAAGCCAAAGTCAATGTTACAAAATCCATAAATTAAAGCTAAGGCACCTAATTCATACATTAGTCCCTCGATCAGAATCTATTTATTCTTATTTGCACATAACTGGAAGGGATGAAATCATCCACTTTCTAAGAGAGGTGCAGGAGGTTAACAAGGTGGGTACCAAGGCAGGCTGGCACTCCAACAGGTGGGTGCCAAAGATACATCCAAAGCCTTTCTCAGACCATCACACTCTAGGGCCCTTTGAGGTTCCTTTGTATCCTGATGGCTTCACAGTACTACTGGAAGTCCAATAACTGAAATTCCTAATGATTTTGTGAGCCCCCCAAAAGAACGAGGTATGTTCAGTGTTTTTCTTTAAAGGATCCAGGGATTTCTGTTTTACATTCTAGAAATACTTTCTTCAAATACACTTAAATGCCAAGGAGCTTGGTACTTGAAAGGGGTTCCATTACATAAGAAGTGCATTTATACGGAACATTTCCCCCCCAGAATGAATAAAGATGGGTAAAAATGGAGCAAGAGGTGTCACCATATTTAGACTTCGAAGTATCACCTCCTCACCTCCCATCTATTGGCAAATGCAGAGCAGAGCAGACAACACCTCCTCCTCGCTCTGAAATATTTAGTGTGTAAACACTGAGTCAAACAATGGCCCCAGGCACCCTGAGGGTTTATAACCATTAGATTACGCACAAATCTAACAAGGAGCTGGCTGTCTGATTGGAAATGCCATGTTCCTGATGAGGGCTATCTGCGATCTCTGCTCGTCTCCCTTCCCTGCACTGGCTTTGCACAATGTCCTGTCCCTCCCCAGTTCTGCCCCTCCTCTTGATGGCACTGGATCTCAGCAAGGGTTTCGTCTGTGTGTTCAGCCCCTGCACATCTACAGAGCAGCTTTTGCCAAGGGGTGTTCCAAAGAATCCCGCTCCTCCAGCTGTGTGTGATGGTATGAGCCGGGAAGGCTACACCCCTGCCTGACACGAGGAGTAGGGGGGCACTTGGCTCCCAGGGAGGCGGCAGCAGCCCCGTGGTGAGGAACACAGAGCCGGAGGCACAGTGCCTGCAATGGGTTAAGGCCACGCAGGTCAGGTGTCTCTTCCCAGGCCAATTCCTGCAACCCTGACTCCAGTGTGGCTTTGAAGACACGCCCATGGGTTGGTTCCACTCAGATCAGCTTACTCAGAATCTCTGTAGGGAGACCTCACTTGGTAGAAGCATTTTCCCAAAGCATTGGCCCAGGCTAATTCTCTCACCCAAAAATAGGCTCTCCACAGCTGTGTTCCCCACCCCATCACCCTCTCAATGGACCTGGGCTTCACAGCACCCAAAAGAACCATGGATCCCTGAGCTGACTGGCTGGAGACACAAAATACCTATGGGCTGGAACATGGGGCCCCTATAGGCTACCAAGGGGTCTCTTTTGAGGGCTCTTCTTTCAGCATTAACAATTTCTGCTTCCCTCCCTACATAAACAGAAAATGAAGGTTGAGCACTCACAGACACACAGCAATACTGCTGCCAGGAAGCAGAGAGGTTTTTGGTTTCCTCTTGCACCCTTCTGAGCCGAAAGCTCATGTGGGTGCCATTCACCCTTGACATCCCAGGGACCTGGGGAGGGGAGGAGTTTTCAGCCTCTGGTCTTGAGTTCCAAAGGACAGCACATGTGTGCCTGTGCCAGGCACAGTCCCGTGCCTTTCACATGCATTGACTCATTTAATCTTCACAGCCAGGTTAGAGTGCATCTGGTTGCCCCAGGTTCCCAGCTATCCACAGGAAATTCTGATATCCCGAGCTTCGTCTCAGTCTTGCTCTGGCCCCTCCGCAGGACCATTCTTTCCTCCCAGAGCCTCGGAAGAAGAGAAGTCTAGCCCCAAAACCAATGCTTGTTTGCCTCTGCCCTCTCCTCTCTACCTCCTTTTGAACCTTGGCTCTTACTCCAGAAAGTGCATGGCATTGTTTTTTGCACAAGGTCAAATGGCAGATATACTCTCTAAATATTCCAGTTCAACCCAAGTCTCTATGGACTGCAGGATTTGCATAGAAGGAAGGGTCTTCCACACACACTAGGTCCTCTCTGCTGGGAGAGTCTGTTCAACAGACCTCCTGAACAAAGGCTATTGGTAGAACGGGTTATAGCTGGTATATTTTAAATGATGCATTGCATGGGAGGTGGCACTGCCAATGCCAGGATGTGGCTAATAAAGGACACATCATGTCATGGACCAATTCAGTTTTCATTACACTTCACTAGTATGAAGAAAAGATAACACAGATGACGGACTTGGGTGCAAAAGTGTATGTTACGCGGAGCATAACACAAACAGATTTTTACTTAAATAACAAAGGAAAGATTTCAAAAAGTTCTCTTCCAGAATACTTCTCATCTCTAGAAAAGAAAAGAAAAGAAAAAATGAGAGCAAAGTGTTAGAAAAATAAATGGCCATGCAATGAAGCAGGTAAGAGAAAAGGCCCATGAGAAACTTGAAGCTGATGAATTTGCAAGAGAAACTGAGAGCAGGAGCAAGCGCAAACAGGAACCTGCAGAAACTGTGTCAGGGTGAGTGTGCTTTGCTAAACAGATTTCTCTCAAGCCCGACAGAATGGGACACCTGGCAGCACTTGACCTGCATGTCGTCTTTCTGTTTGGATCCTACAGAGGGCTTGTGGGTAGAGAGAAGTGGACTGTGGAGACAGCTGAAGATGGAGAACATGCTAGATCACTGTTCTCAGAGAGCAGTGCGTGATTCCCCCCTGTATCAGAATCACCAGAGGAGCTTACTGAAAATGCAGACTGCAGCGACTCACTGTAGGCTCAGAATCAGAATGTGCAGGGCAGGGCCTGGGAACATGCACTTGAACCAACTCGCCATAGGACTGTCATTCACAGAGCTTGAGAACCACCACTACAAGTATATCACCTCTCTCCTTTGCTATCACTCAGAGCAGGACTCCAAAATGGCAATTTTTTATTTCTAAAAAAAAGCTATGAAACCAGTGGGAGAACTCTCAGGCTTTGTTTTTGGGATACATAACTGATTGGAGGAGTCACGTTCCAGAACAAGGGGAATGTTTGGGTCACTGACCCTCAGTAAACAGTTCTTTTGCACCTACCATTTCATGGCCCAGGTAAGGATACCCATCAAGCCAACATCCTCTTCTGTCACAAAGATTAACTCAGCTCTTCAGGTCCTCTAGCTGGCAAGACTTGAGGTGCTGTAGACTCTCTGACCTGGCAATTAGTCACTCTTCCTTTTTTAAGCTTTCTGTTTCCTTAGCTTCTAGCACTCCACTTTCTGCAATTTCCCACCTCTCAGGCCACACCTTCCTTACATTCTTCCTTGGCTCCTCTTCCTCCACCCACTGTGCAACCATCAGTGCTCTCCAGGGGCTGGTTGTGGCCTTCAGCTCCTCCCTCTCTCCACCCTGCAGCAGGTGCTCCAGCCCAGGCCCGGGGCCCCTTCCGCTTCCTCTCCTCTTGCTGCACCTGAACTCCATCCTCAGCATGAACTGTTATTAGTTCCAGGCCCTCTCCACTGCCCAGTCTTCTCTCAACAAGTCCCTGATGGTTCCCATCCATCCCCGGCCCCTTAAATGTGCCCTTTCTCCTGAAGCCCGTTTCCTGGCTGCTCACATCAATCTCAGAAGTTGGCCTGGTCCTTCATCGACAATACCCAGCTGGTCCCATTTCCAAGCAAGCCTGCCTGCTAATCGACTGCCCTTTCTCTACCCCTAGAGTCCCTGTCATCTGTCCTCCTCTCTGACCCTACTATCACTGTCATTCGTATCTTGGCAAAGTTTCTTTTGCTCTTCACAAACAGGAGGCTCACCCTGTAAGAACCCTCTCCTGATCACAAAGCTTTCAGGGGCTCTTTATCACCTACAGTTAAGTTCAACAGTTGACAGGGACCATGAAACCCCCATCATCCGATTCTTCTCACTCACTCAAACCAGCTCCCCATCATAAAGAATGTGACCACAGGGCCTTTGCATATGTGCACACCTCAGCCTGAAATACCTCTTTTGGCAAGGAAATCACCGCTGGTATGATGTTTCACTATTCGCAAACATCTGCTTATGTGTTTGTCTTCCTTATTAGTCATGAGTTCTGTCTCCAGAGGTATCCCAAATACATTGCCTAGACCCTGGAGTAAATGTTTGCCAAATGGCCGCACAAGAGTAAGATGGACCAGTGGAGGGAGAGATTGGAGGAAAAATCTCACAGCCTGTCCCAATGGTCAGGCAAAAGATGATGCAGGCCTGGGTTAGAATGATGAGGAAGATGATGATGACGATGATGATGATGACAACAGTAATAACATTAATAATAACATCCAACATAATGATATACTGCGTTAATAATATCCAGCACTCCCCTTCCTACAGCACTGTTTTAAGAGCTTTTCATATTCTGACTCATTTAATGCTCATGGCAACCTTATGAGGCAGATTCAGTTATGACTGTTATTCCCACTTTATAGATGAAGAAACTGAGGTAGGTGACACTAAGACAATGAAACAAATAACTTGAGAACGGATACAAGGGCAAGTGTGATCTACGGCCGATTAAAATCCCCACACTCCGTGCCCACTCAGATGGGCACGGGGAAGAAAAGGCACAACAGGGCTCTTGTGCCGCTCTGGGGAACAGGTGCTTGTGGCAGGAGACAGGGTGGACTCCACTTGGGGCCTGTTTGCTAAGGCATCTGCAGGACACCCTGCACAGGTCACGGTGTGCCACCGCCAGGCTTGGCTCTTTCTGGTCCCCCTGTGCCTTGCTGTTCCCAGTCTCCTCTAAGGTGATGTAACTTGACAGTCTGGGGACAGAGGTTCAGAAAAACTGAATCACTTCAGATTCAGGTCCAAAACAGAAAAAGGCCCAGAATATAATGTCGGTAAAAATTCCAGTAGATGCAGGAAGAAAGGCTCAAAGAAACAAGGGCTGAGAGAGCTTTGAAAGGGGGCATCTGTCATCATAAGATGGTGCAGAGAAAGGGAAGAGGACGGCCCAGCTCACAGCCCCTCTACTGATTATCGCCACAGAGCAGAATAACTTTCTGGTCTACCAGCTGATGTGAGCTTTTGTTTATTTGTTGGTTTTAGGGGTTGGTTTTCAAATTTCACTTGGCTACCACATGCCCCCACCATTCAGTTGGTGACATTCACTACCCCAGGGAAACCATGACACCGTGGAGTGCAGAGAATGAAGAGTCAGATCCACAGAACTAATGAGGTGTCATTTATATATCACACAATTCACCCATTATAAGTACTCAAAGCCAGTGATTTTTTTTTGAACATTCTAGTTTTAGAACACTTCCATTGCTTTTCGGTATGATTTGAAACAAACCACTGTCCCTCCGAAATCACCTGTACCCAGCTGCCTCCAGAAGTTCCATGCCGACCCCTGCTCTCTCCTACTGGTCCCTCCACCTCCCAGAGGGGCAGGATTGACGAGGCTTGGCCAGACCAAGCTCCCTCTGGGCAGCAACCCAGGACACAGCTCAGCCTCCTGTGAGCTGTAGGGTAAGGGCTATTATGTGGCCAGCTCTGAGCCTAAGATATGCCAGACTCCTTTCCCACCTACACCCCTGCCAGGGCCTGAGGGCCCCAAAGTCACAGTTCCTTAAGCACAGGACATGGATTCTATTTGTAACTAGAGCTTCTTTTTAAAGGGTAGCAGATTGAGTGCTTCGCTGCAGAAGGGGTTCCAGAAGGACCACAGTAGGGGAGGGAGGTAAACACACAGAGAAGAAATAGAGGCAATGGATGGGGTTCTTGCTTTGGGGAGATACTTTTGCTTGTATTTATTTTGACACAGTGATGATTTCTTGCTTGTTAAGAGACAAGGTCATGCCTCAGATGGCCACGTGAACTGCAATTAATAGTCTGCAGGCTGACTCCAGCCGTATCATTCCTCAGCACACACTGCTTAACTGTGCCACAGCCTTGGGAACCTGTCCCCTGCATGCAGCCCATGCCAAGCCATGAGATACAGCATTCCTGTGTGCACTGAACACCCTACCCCACGTGGGTCTGCAGCTAATGGGGAAACAGGGAAAATGGCAGAGAAGCCCAAAATGTGTGTCAGGTTTATTTGCCAAGGGAGCCAAAGGAAATGGCCAATGTTTCAGGACAAAAAAAATTACCAATTCGATTGCATCAGTGGTGGCAGCTGGAAAGCAGAATCTTAAAACCCTCCTGTTTCTTCTATAAACAGTGTCATCTGACCCTCCATCTTGCTCATTATAGTTACTGACCACAAGGGCAAGATGGTGGCTTCAGTGACCAAACACGTTTTGTAGAAACCTATGAAAAGCAATGGTGTCTTCACAGGGCAGGGGAGAGATGAGATTTTTCTATGCATTCCAATGACAGAGGCATCCCCGAGTGCCCTAATTTTGCCAACTACATTCCAGAGCTCTTTTCCTCACATGCCCAGACAGAGAGAAGGCCTTTGTATTTGTGATGACTTCACACTCAGCCAAAAGTAAACACACTCTCCACTTTTTCCATGGACAAATCCTAACCCCAAATTGCCAGCATTGGCCTCTCTGAAATCCAAATGGAAAGCCGCCTTTCCCAAGAAAATAAAACCCTTTTAACTCAATAATACATCTTGGCTGCAAAAGCAAACTTTCCTAAAAGCTTCCTAGAAATTATTTATCATGCAATCACACAGAGATGCTGCAGATCCCCTGAGCAGACCCTACCAATGGAACAAAGGCACTCCAAATACATGAGCAAAGGATCCACGAATAAATGCTCACTCCAGCAACACTGGCACTCACAACCTAGGCAGCACATTTTAGCAAGCACACAATCTGCAACTCAACACACACGCACACGCGCACACACACACACACATGTACACACCCCTCACTGCCACCTAACTGCAACAACATTCTTTCTGAAAACAGGCTGTGATAAGACAGGTGCTAATTTAAATAAAGAGCAAAATGGCACTCAAGATGCAAGCTCTACGGCGCTTCAGTACATGTCAAACACACATCTTATTCCTCCTGCACATTCCAACTCAAATCTCTGTGCCTGGAGCTCAGTCCTCCACCAGCTAGTAAGAAATGTAGACTTGAGGACTTACCAGGTTGGAATTGGTGGCGTTGGAATCATCTTCTGGAAAGGGAATATAGATTGCTAAGGCCACACAATTGGCAAAAATAGTCAGTAAAATAATTATTTCAAATGGTCTGAGGAAGGGAGTTAAGGAAGCAGTAAGTACAAGTGAAACAAACATACATCTATATATTATTGTTAAATGAATCAAAGATTTGTAAGAATTTTGTTTAAACAATGCATTCCAAGCCCCTTGTATTCTGAGAAGAAACATATGCCTTTTTAAGTGCTTCTCGTGAGGCCCCGCCAAAATTTTTCCTAATATGTCAAAAGCAGTGGAGGCCAGTCGCGTGCCAGAGTAAACACAGATTTCTAAAAACTTTTTTCCCCTTCTTTTATTTATTTAGATTGCATTTGACTTCATTTTCCCTCATGTGTGCTTGGGGTGGCTTTTACAGAGCAGTGCCTGCCCCAGGCAGGACTCCCTAACACCCCATTTCTGCATGGCTTCTATGCCACCTCCAGGGGACCCAAATATGTCTAGGACAGGAGAGCAGTGAAATGAAGTTTCAAAACAAAGTGACCTTTCATATTTTCCTTTGAAATTTGGGGATTTTACTTTTTAATCTTTCAAAATGAAGTTAGGAGGGTTTTTTTTTCTTGTTCTACTTCTACTTCATTCTCTGACACCTTCAAGAGGGCTGGAAGCCTGGCTGGGTGGCTCAGGACCCCCAGAGTGTGCTGCATGTTTAGAGGAGGACAGCCATTTTCCTTCATGCAGGCGAGGCAACACTCTTGGTTCTCCAGAAGCTCTGGTTCTACCTTCGGTAGGCCAGGCTCCAGCCGCTGGTCCTCCCAACTTTTATATGATGGCCCAGGGCTGTAGAGGACACCCCACAATATGTTCAGCAGTCACACTGCATGAAGGGTCCCATGCCCTGGCGTCTCAGTCAGAACACCAGGGCAGGATGCACCCTCCAGTGACAACGAGCTAATGTGATAGATAGCACCCTTCCAGTGAGACCTGCCCCACACCCACAGCTGGAAGGCCAGAAGGGAAGCTTTAGGGGAAAGGTCTAATGTTCAATTTCCAGCTCCACCCCTCCCTACTGTCCCCACTGCCATATGTTCGTAGTGTCTCACAAGAGGAGGAAGAAAAAGAGAAGATAGAAATTTCTGGGCAAGGGGACCAACTTAGCTCTCCCAGGAACTCTGAAATCACAAAGATAAAAATTTTGGAACAGGAAGAGACTTTAGATATTATCTGGTCCAAACCTCTGAGGCCTAGAGAGACAGAGAAATCGTCCCAATGCCGCACAGTGTGTTACTGACCAGACAAGACTAGAACCTAGACTTTCTGACAACCTAGTATAGTGCTTACCACTCACCATAGACAGGTTCTGACTTGTTTTCACAGGCTGCACTGCCGAGGTCACAGCATTCTGGACCTGGGAGCCATCTGAGTGACTACCTTAGTGATGGAAGCCCCTCAGCCCTAGAGTATGGTTGAGAGTCTCTTTACTTCACAAAAGGTGCCATGTGAGCATTAATATTAAAAAGATGGCACACCATAGACCTGTCCAATCTGCACACATCACAGATGTGGAGAATAAAAATAGTCAGTATAAGATTCCCAGCTGCAAAGAGCAGAGGCAGGACCAGAACCCAGCTCCACTGACTAATCTTTTGCATCATGCTGCCCTTGAGTTGGCCAGAGAGTTGGTGATGGGTCAGAGATGCTGGTGATGGGCATGGTGACAGTGAGGACAGAGGCTAACTCACCAAAAACCTACCCAGGGCCAGGAACCATTCTAATTGCACTACACAAACACCCAGCCTGGAAAGTGCAATTATTATCCTCCTTGCTAAAGGGGGACACTGAGGCACAGAAAGGCTATAGGCTAACTTGTCCAAAGTCACAGAGCTGGTGGTAGGATAGGATACAAATTCAGGAAGTCTGATTTTTTCAGACATATTGATCAGAGTCTGAGTTTTTCAAAGATACTGATATATCTTAAAGACACCTAGATCACATTCAGGAAGCCAGTTCTTTTAGCCCTCTGACTACATCACCTCTCCCTTCCTAAGTCTATCCCTCATCCGCTTAGGAATGTAACACTCAGCCCAGGAACTTGTCCATTTCACTCTTTTTTTGTTTTGTTTTTGTTTTTGTTTTTTTGGTACCGGGGATCGAATTTGGGTCCTTGCGCTTGCGCAGCAGGCGGCAAAACCACTGAGCTAAATCCCCGGCCCATCCATTTCACTCTTGTTATTATCTGGTACCCTGTGCTCCCCCCACCAGGGGAGCACAAATCTACTGAGACAATCGCTTCTCGGCCTTTTGGCTAAGATCAAGTATAGAATCAACTGAGACAGACTGCATGAGCACCCGTTTGGCAAAATATCAACCCACTGCCTCCACCAAAGTGGGGATAGCTAAGCTTGGGTGTTTCTTACATTGTCAGTTTCAATCCCCCTCTACCAGGCTACCTGGCCATCATCTTATGCTAAAAGCACTAGGTAAATGCTAGGGAAGATATCAATCAGGTATAAAGAAATCAATCAGGTAGGTGAGAAGAGAGAGAAGATCTGCTGAAAAGCAGAGGAGAATCCAGTTAAGCCCTGGATGTGCTCTGGCCACGCTGGGAAAACAGATCAGTTTTTAAACTGCCTTCCTAATGACAGTATCAGATTCTGTTTTTTCAAGATCTGGGTGGCTGGAATACCAGGTTATCTGCTTACCTGTCCAGCTATCCTTCCTACATGATCTGGAAATGACACCCAACCAGCAATGCTGAGGCTGGGTCCACGTCCCCTCTTCCAGGTGGAGGGCATCTTCCCACAGAAAGGCAGCTTCACCATGAAGTGAGTGCCCAGACCCCACCATGTTCCAGCAGAGCTAGAGTACACCCCCTCAACATCCACCCTAGTACCCATCTAGTCCTACTAATAACCATCTAGTCCCTACCTAGTCTTAAATGTACCACCTAGTACTGTGAGTAAGGGTGGGAAGCAGATGGATTTTGGATCCAGGAGAATCTGGATTTGAAACTCAGCTCTGTCAACTGCCAGCTTTGTGATTTAGAGAAAGGTTTTTGTTTTCTGGCCTTTACTGCCCTCTGCTCTGAGAGTATCTGAACTGCAGGTACCCCAGTTCTCCCACTCCATGGTTCTGTCTTGCACAGCTATGAAAGCAGCCCAATGGGGTTGGCCCAGCCCAACCTCTCTCTTACTCAACAGGGTATTAGAACAACACCTGGCCACTGAGGACTGATTGGCCAGCTAGAAGCAGTCCCTTGTTTTTAACTGTATTATCTTAAAGTTACTCTTATGTTGACAGGCTCAAACATTCATAAGAAGGAATACTGCTTGCTCAACAGAAACTTTCTTTTATTCCCAGGTTATCTTTTACCTTCTAACCACTATCCAAGATTTTAAAATCTTTTCCTAGAAACTCATTAATGAGATCTAACACCTCCATTCTGAACATTGAGTTTAGAGACATGGTGGCCCTGCTCAGATGAATCTATATTATCATAATGCTCAACACCAAGTCCCTAGGTTCTAGTCCTGTCTGTTACTGTCACATGACCCTGGGGAGTCTCTCATGAGGGGGTTCATTTTCTCCCTGGGAAAGTCATGGCTGGATCTATAGATCTTTAAAGTTTTTTCCTCCATTCCATGATGCTTTGATGTTAAGAACCTTGTAATTCCACAGTGAGAACCCACCCATCCCTTTTACTCTCTCTGACCCATGCATTAGTTTCTATATGTACAAAGCGGATCTGTATTTTAGACTCCAGATCAGTGTTCCCAACTTAGCTACACTTTAGATTCACCCAGAGAGGTTTTTAAAACCCACAGATGAAGCTCAGGCAGCTAGAGTTTGTTCAAACTCTCCAGGTGATTGTAATATGTAGCCAAGACTGGGAACTCCTGCTCTTACACCCTAGAGCCAAGAACCAGGGCCACTGACTTCTACACACTCTTGCGTCCCCTGGGCTCCTTCACCCTGCAATCGTGAAACAGGAGGGAAAGAAGGTTATGAAGCAGCTTGCAGTGACAACCAACACAATCACATGAGTGGATCCCAGGCAAGCTCCGCTTCATGAGATATTTCAGAACCTCTTCTGCCCCTTTTCTCCAGTGTTGCTTATTACATGTTGAGTATCCCTGCCCCAAAAAGCTTAGGACCAGAAATGTTTCAGATTTGGGATTTTTAAAAAGTATTTGCATATAATGTACACAATGAGAAATTTGGGCATGTAGCTCAAATCTAAACACGAAATTTATTTGTTTCACATCTACCTTATAAACACAAGCTGAAGGTAATTTTATACAATATATTTTGTGTGACTGTGTTTTGACTACAACCTGTCACAAAAGGAGAGGTGTGGAATTTTCCACTTGTGGCATCATATCAGCTCTCAAAGGTTTCAGATTTTGGAGCAATTCAGACCTCAGAAGTTTTGGATTGGGGATACCCAACCTGTGTATAAGGAGTGGGGAAGAAAAACTGGGAAGTTTGTTATACAAGCAGATTCCTGGGTCCTGTCCCCAGAGATTCAAGAGATTGGGTCTAGGGTAGGACCCAGAACTCTGCATTTTTACAGGCCTCATGGATGCAGATCCATGCTCTTAGAACCAGTTTGTAGGCTCAGAACACCAACACACTCCACTGGCTATGAAGCCTCAGAGGATCAGTCCTCAGGTTCAGGTCCCTGAAGCACCCTGTCCAGGCTAGAGCACAAAGGATATTTCCATTCGACAATGCTTATGCACGCTCTCCGGATAGGGTTCTTCAGAGTCAGGCAGAGCAGGGCCCGGGGCGGCCGCGTGGCGGTCGTGCCACCCTGCTTCTTGGGTTTCCCATACTGCTGCCGCTTCCGCTGTGTAGAGCTGACAGTGGAGATGGTCGCATTCCCAGCACTGCCCATCAGCTTGGCCTGCCGGGCCGCATCGATGGCTGCTTGCCAGGATAGGGCTGCCCCCGGGGTGGGGATGTGCTCAGGGGCCAGCCCCGCAGCTGCATTGGCATTCATGTTGGCATGAGCTGGGCGTGGACTCCCATAGTTGGAACCTTTAACAAAAGAAGAGAAAGGACTACAGTTATGAGAGTGAAAATAAGAGCATTTGGGACATGCTTTGGATTCCACACTAGGGGCTGGGAATTTAGCTCAGTGCTTCTGCCGCCTGCCTTGGATTCCAGACGGACAATTTTTTAAAATCTTATTTCAAGCTATTGCAGGAAGTTGGAAAGTGACACATGGAAACACTAATATGAGACACTGCGAGGTGAGCCAGGAAAGCTGCTCTAGGCCTGATTCAGGTGACCTTGCCCACATCACTCCCCTCTCTGGTCTCACAGCCTCATCTGAGGGAGGCAAGGCATGAGGTATGTGTCACAACGTGCATGGTCCTTTCTGGCCCTCCAGCTTGTGCACGGCCACTAGCTTCTGGCCATGTAAGTCAGTCTAACAAATTCCTCTGTGTGTGTGTGTGTTCCATAGATCCTGTGCCTCTGAAGAACCCTGACTAATACAGCCAGTCAGAACATTTTCACCCTAGAGTCTGTCCCAGAGAGAAAGAGAATTCAGTATCATAGGATTCCTGCATCCAGCCATGCCTGAAGTTAGCCCTACTCAACCACATGGAGATGAGACAGGTGTGGCCTCCATGAAGGCTGTGCCTAAGAACCAGTGTAGCCTCCCCTTCTCCAAGGAATTTCCCTCCACCCACTGCAATGACAGTAGCTTAGATTATGCTCCCTTGAGTGTAGTCTCTGTCTCGTGCAACAAACAAGACCTGACTGATGTGCTTGCTCAGTGTCCAAACCTTGTATGTTGCCTTGCTGTCGTTTCTGCAGGTCCCAAAGTCTATGTCCTCTCACAGCATCAAAACAGGGACAGACAGTAAGTTTTCAACTCTTATGCCAACTGATTGACATCACTGTCTAAAATGCTGTACTTAAAGGATTCCAAGACTTTCCTGAGTATGACAGGAAAGTACACCATGATAAATTAGTGATGCCTACCGTGGGCACTGAGGTAGAGGATGATAAACACACAGATGCCACGTACTCAGCACCCCTGTCAGATACCAAGCTGAGCCCATCCGGTCTTCTCTGGTACCAGCTGGCCAGCTGCCTCTTGTACTGTTGCCATCTGGTCCCTGTGGCATTAGCACCCCACCCTACTCTCCAGGGCCTGGGAAATTGCCTCTGCTGTACCCACTTCATGGCCATATGCATATTCTCAACATGACACAGTTATCATATCACCATATATACCCTTCACCCTTCTCCTTTTGTCCAGGCAGCTCCACACCCCAAGGTAAAGCACATTAACTAGGCTCACAAAGAGCCCAACACTTCTTCTACTGAGAAGTTTCCTCTCCCACATACCTCCCACATCGAATCCTTGCTGTATTCACTGTGCAGATGGATCCTAAGCATAAAGTGAGGAAGTCCCCAAGAAGGCTAGGACCTTCACCTTTCTTATAAGACCTCAGAGGAAAACACTGAAAGAATGGATTTGAATTAATAAAGGCACCTGAAGCACAAGAACTGCTTTAATAAGCAGCAAGATGAGTGTCTCCACTTAACACATAGGAAAACAAAGGGGCGTATGACTCATTAAAGGTCACAAAATGAGACAATGGAAGATTTCTGCAGCACACAGGATTCATGTTGAACTGCTAGACTATACTCCCACCTCCTCAGTGCTCTCTCTCTCTCTCTCTCTCTCGCTCTCTCTCTCTCTCTCCCCCCACACGCATGCACACGTGCGTGCTCACATGCATGGTGACACACAGTACATACCTCCTCCTGGTTTATGGGTATTGAGATAGAAGGAGCTGAACTTCCAAGAACATCCTATAGATTTAATAAGATCTTCTTAGGACAGCACCCATGACACTCACAGCACCCACAGTAATCCTCGGGCACCTTTAGGGTGGATGAGAGGAGAAAGTATCCCTATTTCTACTTGCCACACTGCAGTGACTTGAGTCCAAAGTGGCCTAATCTGTCTTTTTGGTTCACCAGAGAAGGCCAGAACTCTAACTTTGCTCCATTAAGTCTGCAGTATATAATTTGTCCTTCCTAGACTATTTGGCATTAACAAAATTTAATAGACTATTTTCGTTTCTGGACTAACTTTTCTTCCCTCACATACTTTGAAATCAGCCATGTTCCCCCACCACCAGCCTTCCAGACTCCAATTCTCTACTTGTGAGAACACCTCACACTTTAGAGGAATCGATGGACTATACTGTACTTGGAGGAATTTATTAGATTTGCTTACATGATCCGAGGCTGGATGGCCATGTGCAAGTTGGAGAGCCAGAAAGGACCACGGACATTGTTAACTCACATATCTCATCCCTTGTCTCCACAAGATGAAGCAGTGAGACCAGGGAGGGGAGTGGCATGTACAAACTCTAATCTTTGAGCTCACTTCTGGGCATTGGCCTTCATCTCCCTCTCTCATGTCAGCTGTCAGTCCCAACACCCAAGCTGTCCCAGCAATCTCTGAAGAGCACACAAGAAGAGAGCAAGAAGCACTGAGCCTGAGAACCCATTCATTGCCCCCAAAGAGCTGTGTCAAGTCCACGCCTCCTGTGTACCCTTTGCATGAGCAAGATGGTGGCCGCCTCTGCAGAGCCAAGGGGCAATTCTGAATACTCAGTCTTGACAGGCTGACTTCTGAGCCCGCCCCCACCATACTCCACAGGGGACCTTATTTATACTGTGAACTGTTCCCAGAACACAGGGATCTCTCTGGAGTATACCATCTGGAGAAAGCACGTATGAATAGGCCTGTGGGGAAAAGTGGAATGTTAACTTCTCCCTGGCCAGAGGATAAGAAAATGACCTTCAGTATTTTGGTCCAGGCAGCTGCAAGCATTGTTAGAGCCCTGTGATGTGACCAAGGGCACTGCCACAGTAAACACAGAGCCACATGCAGGTAAGGTAAGTGTGGCCTCTCAGGGCCAGCCTCTTCAAGGGCTGAATCTCTAGGCCAACCTAGCTTCCCCTTCTCTAAGTCATTCCCCAGCCACTGGGATGACTTCTTACCCAGGCCTAAAGTTCTATGAGTCTCCAGGTCACCCCCAAGAGGTACAATTACCCCAGAATCCCAGGAGTGGGAAACCGCTATCCTTGGCACAAGGGTTTTAAATCTAGAGTAGCATTGTGAAGGTAGGGTAGGCAGCATTGTCCCTGATGGCTTTTGTTAGCACGAAATCACCACCCAATGCAAAGAGACCAATTTTCAAATTATAAAGCTGATTCAAAGCTCGGTCTCCTGATTGCCAGCTGAAAAGATGCCACCGTTTAAGACTGCTCTGGTTCCCGCCTTGCTGGGCTATTTCCACTGATGCTCTTGTCCCTGAATGAGCCTCAGAACAGCAGCTTAGCTGATCAGCCCACACACAAACAGGCAGGTGCCCACAGCAGTGACCTCTTCCCAGGACATAGAAAGATAATTCCCATTTGTCAAACAGTTCAACTCCCCTGAAGACAGCTGCAGCTCCCTTCTCCCATACACAGGTGCTGCTGCTTCTCAGAGGGACCAGGACAAGGACAAAGACCCCCTCACACTGGCCAGCCTCACACCATTCTGCTTTGCAAGGGTCCCCTGAGGAGTCCAAATCAGGTGTCAGGGCCATCTGCTGCCATAAGGTCCCTGGGAGTAAGGCTTAATCCTGGAGACCTGGAAGGTGTTGAGTGAAGAAAATACTGACTGTTTTTCTTTACTCCATCTCCTCCACGCACCTGATCAAGGGTCATACCCCACATAGTCAACATTATTTGCTAAGTCTGTAACAATAATGGTGTCATAAGGTTGCTATAGTCTGCATGGCCCATGTGTTTTGTCCCCAGTTCATAGTGCTATTAGAAGGTGGTGGGACCTTTAAGAGGTGGGACATAGTAAAAGGAAGTCAGGTCATCAAGGTTGTTTCCTTGAGAGGATATTGGGACCCTACCCCTCCTTGTCTTTTTTGCTTCCCTGTTGCCATCAGGTAAAGGAGTAAATGGTTTGTTCAGCCACATGGTCCATACCAGGATGTGCTGCCTTGCCACAGACCCAAAAGCCACGAGGCCAACTAGCTGTAGGCTGAGACCTTCAAAGCTGTGAGCTAAAATAAACCTTCCCTCCTTATCAGTTGATTGTCTCAGGTATTTTGTCACAGTCACAGAAAACAGACTAACACAAAGGTAAACTACAGGTAAACTTTAGCTAGAACTCTGTTGGAGCCTGTCCATCTATGCCCTAAAGAACAAGTTTATCCTTAAGCATCAGGCTCTTCTACTTCCTTCTTGGATGTTGTACTGGGGGAGAAGCCCTGAGAAAAGAGTGTGAGCAATGATTTCCGTCTGCCACACCACCACCCTTCTCTGGGCCCCCATCCATTTCTTGCCCAGAAATGCTGCAGTAGCCCCCTGACATTTCTCTCATTTCCAGTCTTGCCTGTCCCCAATTCAATCTCCATGCAGCAGCTAAAGTGACCTTTTAGAAATATGAATCATAAATCAGGCCCTGTCATTTCCCCAGTTAAATCCTTTCAAAATCTAACCTCTGTGCCATGGCTTATGAATCCTGCATAGGCTGGCCCAGGCCCACTTTCCTGGGCTTATTTCATTCCTCTCTCAGCCTATATGATGTACTCCCAACACAGGCTTCATTCCATGCCTTAGATATGTCCAGTTTTTGCCTAACACCTTGTCTTTGCATGTATCTAGAACGTTCTATCAGCTCTTTGCTGGGTGATTCCTCCTCGCTCTTCAGGTTTGGTCTTAGATGATTCTTCCTTAAAACCCCCAACCCAAATAAGCAGAACACACATAAGAGCTGCCAGACACCTTCCCACTTCGCTGCCTCCAAGGCACCCTTGAATAAAGATACTCAAACCTGTCGGCAGCAAGGTGTAGAAAAAGGTACGGGGCCACTGGCCTGCTTTGACACCATGGCCTCCTGCTTCCGTCTTACTGCCTTCTGCCATGCACAGAGGCAGGTCACTCCTAATGAGTTGCCCCTGTGCACACAGAGATGCTTCAGAATGACAGAGAGACCACGG